GTTTCCTGAGCCTCTGCGTGATCCTTACCACTCTCAAACTCTACCGCCTCATCTGGACCTTGGTGAGAGCCACAACTCCTCCCTACCCCCCTCTCCTCAATCGGTCATCCACTCCACACCAGGTTCCAGACCTGGCACCACTGTCTGAGTGAGTGTGCATCTGCTGGACATAAAGCCTAAGGCTTAAGACTTTTGAACTTAGCATGCAGAGGGAATGTCTGTCATTAGCCTGTCATGATTAAGTGTGTTTTGTGGTGCTTAGAATTAATCTGGAATTGTTTGCTATAAATTAATTAATAATCTAGAATTGTTTGCTGTGAATTGATTATGTCTATTGCAGTGCCTAGCATTAAGGATAGTCGTTTTCTTGATTAAGAACCTATAGAGTGGAATTGTATTGAGTAATTTGGGTGAATAAAGCATTGAAAGGGGTAGAAGCATGGRACATTCTTTATTTCTCCCCTCAACTGCATACATTGTGATTTTGCCCCCTTGTGACAATGGGAAATCAAACTCAAGACTTTAAGTACTCTTCCACTGAGTGACATCCCCAACTCTGGATTGTCTTTTTATTATGGAGTTTTAAGAGTTCTTATTATATTCTGGAGACTAGAATATTATCAGTGTTATGATTTTATTGTAAAGATTTTTTTCTAATTTGGTTCTGACATCTGTTAAGAGGGGCCATAAGCCAAAATGGACAACGTCAAGGAGAACACTGAAAGAGTGAAATTCAGATTTATGTGTGTCAGTCAGGTGAAACACAATGAGGAGGCAAAATAAAAATAAGAAACTTATCTAACAGGTCCCAGAGAGTTTAGGGAAACCCAGGGGTGACAGGGAACCTGGCTAGCAGGTGGGGAGTAGGAGGAAAAAGGACCTGTGGGACTATGCCTTTGTTAAGGTGCATGTTACCACTTAGGCTTTACCTTGGTGGTTGTTGACTGGCTCATTTAAAGAGAACGTGGGAAGTAGGAAAACTTAAGTGATTCATGTTGATGATCGGATTTTATTGGGTCCACCAGCTGTGGGATGTGTTGGGTTTGGGGTCAGTAGGATGAGGAGCAAGTAAGCTACAAATAACAAATCACCAAGAGAGAGAAAAGGATGGGATATGGCTGTGTTTCAACCAACCCATGTCAGGACTAAAAATGAATGCTGAGGCAGAAACTGATTTTTTTTTTTTTTTGTATCAGACATTGAACCCAGTGGTGTTTAGCCACTCAGCCACACCCTCAGCCTTTTTTATTTTTTATTTTGAGACAGGATCTTACTAGGTTGCTTAGTGTCTCATTAAATTGCTGAGTCTGGCTTTGAAGTTGTGATGCTCCTGCCTCAGCCTCCTGAGCCACTGGGATTATGGGTATATGCCACARCGCCTAGACTATGTCAAATTTACGACAATCATATATATGATTTACAAACATGTTCTACCATTCTGTGGTATTTTCACTTTATTGATAGTGTCCTTTAACAAATAGATACACTTTTTAAAGATAGAAGTGGCAAGATCTTAGAGTAGATGTTTCCAGTTTTTAGTTGTTGAATATCATGTTAGCTGTGGGTTTTTTATATAAAACCTATATTACATTGAGATAGTTTTCCAGTTTGTTGAGAATTTATATCATGAAAGGGTACAGAACTCCATAAAATGCTTTTTCTGCATTTATTGAGATAATCATGTGATTTTTTTATTCAATGTACTGTAATATGGTTTATCATATTGATTGATTTTCATATGTTGAATCATCCTTGGTTACCAGAGAATTGCAGTAGCGTTCTTGTCTCTTGTGTTCTTGAAAGAGGTTTCAAGCAAGACACAAAACATAATGATAGTATAGCAACGTTTATTAAGATAAAAGCCATCCCCAAGGAAGACAGTGGGTTGTCTCAAAGAGATCTACAATTCACTTCTTTGTGAACTTAGTTTTATTGGAATAGAGGAGAAGTTGTTAGAAGATTTTGCTTAAGTATCACCTCTTGGCTCTGGATTGACAGATTACATTCCTAAACCTCTACTGCATATGCTTTTACCTGTAGGTATCTAAGTGAAACCCAGGGAAGAAAAACTACAGTTACAATGATATCATAAAGCTATGTTAACAATCTAAGGGCAACTCTCAGTCATCCTGGCCCTGCTGGCAAGTGCTAATTGGAACTTGTTTTACAGAATTTATGGTCCATGGGCTCCGGTCTTAATCATCCTGCTTTCCTAGATCTGGGTATCTCTGTGTTGTTTGTGCAGAGTCTTAACATGATTTTAGCAGTTAGGCCCTTCTGAGAAAACATATCCTTGTTATCCTCTGGTTCTTAACCCCTGAGTCCATCTATCTTCCTCCTGTTGTAAAAGGAGTAATTTATAGAGCTGAGATCAGGCAAGGGTCCTGAAGTAGCTATCTTGTCAGAACTTGTGGTGCTACTCAGAGCTATAGATTAACTGATTTATCCTGTACTAAGTATTTTCTTAAASCCCTGACCCACTGCTCACGTGTAACCACTACTTAACATTTGCCTCCCAGTGATAAATCCCATGATCATGGTATATGACCCTTTTAATATGATGCTCAAACACAATGGAAAATCTTTATGACATTGATCTTAGCAATGATTTCATGCATATAACACCAAAATCATAGGCAACAAAAACAAAAAATGAACAAGTGGTACTACATCAAACAAAAATCTTCTGTATAGCAAAGCAAACAATCAACAGATTGAAAAGGCAACCTATGAAATTGAGAAAATATTCACAAACCCAATATCTGATAAGGAGTTGATCTGCAAAATATATAAGGAACTCTGAACAACTCAAATAAAAAAATTAACAACTCAATTTTAAAATGGTCTAAGAAATTTTTTTTGATAACAGTATTGAACCCAGGATGCTTAACAACTAAGCCACATCACCAGCTCTTTTTTATATTTTATTTAGAGACAGGGTCTCACTAAGTTGCTGAGGCTGGTTTTGACTTGTGATCCTCCTGCCTCAGAGCCTGTTAGGATGGCTACTCTCAAAGACAAAAGACAACAAACCAGGAACAGTGAACTATGCCTATAACAGTTACCTAGGAGACTGAGACAGGAGAATTGCTTGTTCAAGGCCACTTTGGGCAACTGAATCGAATCACATAATGTATATGATAATGAAAATAAAATTCAAAAAGGCATAAGTGAGTGATAGTTTTATTGGCAATTTTGTGGAGGTTGTGTATGAAGTCATTTCAGATAACAAATTTAGCTGCATCAAAATTTAGACTGGGGAAATAGCTCAGTGGTAGAGTGCCCCTGGGCTCAGTCCCAGTATGTTAAAAAAGAAAAAAACAACAAAACCAGACAACAAATGTCAGTGAGGATGTAGAAAAATTGGAAACTCTGCACATTGTGGGTAGGAATATAAAAAGTTGCAGCCACTATGGGAAATAATATGGGGATTCCTCAAAATATTAAAATTAGGGCTGGGGTTGTGGCTCAGCAGTAGATCACTTGCCTAGCATGTGTGAAGCCCTGGGTTTGATTCTCAGCACTGAATATAAATAAATAAAGTTAAAGTCCGTTGACAACTAAAACAATAGTTTAAAAAATTGTTTCATGTGTATTTAAAAAGAAGGTGAATAAGCTATAGAGATTTGTACCATATTATACCTGAAGTCAGTAATAATGTATTGTACACAACATGTTTGTTAAGAGGGTAGACTTCATGTAAGCATTATCACAACAATAAAAAATTTCAATAGGGACCAAATATCTGATTACTTACAAAGGATAATGCAGGGAATTTTTTTTTTCTCCAAAAATAAACATGAAAGCACAAACTAGGGGGAAAAAAAGATGACAAAATCCAGGATTGGAAAATTAACTATTTAATTAATAGTTAAATTAATATTTCTGCTGTATGGATTAAAATAAGCAAACTCTGAATTGAATCACATAATGTATTCAATGAAAATAAAATTCAATAAGGCATAAGTGAGTGATAGTTTTATTGGCAATTTTGTGGAGGTTGTGTATGAAGTCATTTCAGATAACAAATTTAGCTGCTCTGCTTACAACTAAAGGCTTCAATTGCCGCATTTAAACTTCAGTGCAGAACATCTACATTTGGAACTTTAGTCTCAGGCCTGGAGCGGCTGTGAAATGGAAGTTACCACTCCATTCTAGTCCATAGATATCGGTATATTCCCCTTCACCTTCCACCCTGCAATAGTGAAAAAGAAGTTTGTGTGTTAATCAAGATGAAGAATCTACAGACTGTCTAGCACATTACACCCTATGTGTGAAGCATATCTTTCCATTTTCAAATTTGGATTTAAAATGCAGAATTCTCCTTTCATATTGTATTAAAAAAAAAAAAACAGTGTCCCAAACAAACATAGTCATTATAAAAATTTTGATGTCCAAGATTTTAGGATCACATAAGCTCACTTCATATAAAACCAAAACAATCAAAACATGAAAAATTTATATTGGTTATCTGGCCTAATTAGTTCACTTATTTATTTAACAAATATTTCTTGATCATCAACTAGGTTTGACGTGATATGCTCTGTGCTATTTTGTTTTGTTTGTTTTTGGAGTAGRGGGTACTGGAGATTGAACTCAGGGGAACTCAACCACTGAGCCACATGCTTAGCCCTATTTTGTATTTTATTTAGAGACAGGGTCTCACTGAGTTGCTTACAGCCTTGCTTTTGGTGAGGCTAGCTTTGAACCCCTATCCTCTTGCCGCCTGAGTTGCTGGGATTACAGGTGTGTGCCACCACACCCTGCTGTACTGGTATTTTCTAGGGCACTTTGGAGTAGTAAAAATGCACTCACACAAACAAACAGGCTTTATCCTACAGATTAGATTTTTTTTTCTCCTTTTATTTTTTTCCCTTTTATCAGTTGGAAAAGGTAATCTGTTGTTGTCACAAAATTAGAGTCAAAATAGGTGAACATTTGTCAGCCCACCTCAAAATGTATTCATATCAACCACCTCAAATTCTAGAAATAAGATAGTAGTATTTATAAATGAACTTGAACTTGAACCTCCAGCTAGCATGGCATGGTATTCAGTGTGTGATCAAGCTTGCAAAGCTTCATTCATGTTTTATTTCACTTTTATGTTTCTATAAGCATATGCTCAGAAAGGGCAATAATGGGTATGCTTCTACAAATTGAAAATTAACTAATTTTGCTCAGATTTTAAAAATTAGCCTAATAAGATTAGGGATGTAGCATAGTGGTAGAACATTTGCCTAGCATACACGAGGCCCTGGGTTCAATAACCAGGATTGCAGGGAAAAACAAAATTAGCCTACTCAAAAGGTATGCACATGTCAGGTCAAAATGAAATAAATAATTATGAAATTACCCCCAAGGCTACTTTAAAAATACATCAAGATATTTCAAGTGAAAATTATTATTGGCCTAAATTTTCTTAATAATTGCAACAAGTTTTCTATCTGCAAACTGACTACAAAAAATTCTATACGAATAGAGAAGTAAAGGGGATAAACAAATAGTCTAATGAATTATTACTAAAAATGATATTCTCTTTTTGAAGCTTATGATGGTCCTAGCCTCTCTTAAAACACTCCCAATCCTGTAAAATAACAAATCTTAAAACTAAATACATTATCAAAGTATATTTAGCATTAACTAAATATAATATTTAAGCAAGCAAAGATTATTTTTTAATTATAGTAATTTTTAAATTTAAGCTTACCTATTTTCATTGAAATTTCCAGTGTACTTTGCCCCAGTTGGGAATGTGTAAGTTCCTAATCCATGAAACATATTGTCCTTAAATTGTCCTTCATATACTGCTCCTGAAAAATGCTCAAGTTTTCCAAAACCATTCATCTGTTTGTAACAAAGAAAATTCCCTCAGAAACAAAAACTTAAGTTTCCCCAGAGCCTTTAAAATATATATATATATATATACATATAAATCTAACATTAAGTCATGATTTCGTGTCACCCTTTATTTCCACAAAAAGAAACAAATTTGCCAGGTGTGATGGGGCATGCCTATACTCCCAGCAACTTGGGAGGCCAAGGCAGGAGGATCACAAGTTCAATACCAGCCTAGGCAATCTAGTGAGACTCTGTCTTAAAATAAAAAATAAGAAGGGCTGGTATGTAGCTCAGTGGTAGTGTGTCCTGGGTTCAATCCCTAGTCCTGGGGAAAAAAAAAAAGGACAAATTTATTTGTCCTTCCTCTGTATCTGTCTGTGAAGCCTACTGAATCAAATGTTCTCATACTGAGTCATTTGAACACATGGGAGTCCATGATGATTTATTAGGATCCTCAAGATATATTAAATACATCAAAAATCTTCAAGTTTCGTTAGCTCAGGAATAGTATAGTATCACTAGTTCAGGCAATAGTAGAGAGCCATATGGAATATGAATTTGGATTCAAGTAAACCTGAGTACACATTCTTGTTTTATCACTTACTAGCTGGGCAAGAAATCTGAGTCTGATTTCCCTCACTCAAAATGAGAGTGTTAATGGCATCTATCTCATGAGATTGTTTTTAGGATTAAGTGAGAAAATTATTAATGGGTTTTACTTTACTTTACAAACAAAGTGATGAGAAAGATACATAATTAGCCCTCTACATGAGTTTAATATTAGGCATATGTTAACATATGTTAAATATAATTATTTATTATTTTTATTATTTGGTCTACTCATTATATATATTTTTTATTAATGGTAAAATGTACGGAATCATCTAGCCTATAGGGTTATTCATTTACAATCAGTATTAAAAACAATAATAGATCAATAAGTATATGAAAAAAATGTTCAACTTCTAGTAATTAGAGAAATGCAAATCTCACTCCAGTCAGAATGGCAATTATCAAGAATACAGCAATAACAAGTGTTGGCGAGGATGTGGGGGAAAACGTACATTGTTGGTAGCACTGCAAATTGGTGCAACCACTCTAAAAAGCAGTATGGAGATTCCTTAGAAAACTTGGAAAGGAACCACCATTTGACCCTTAAATTTAAGCTTACCTATTTTCATTGAAATTTCCAGTGTACTTTGCCCCAGTTGGGAATGTGTAAGTTCCTAATCTTTGGTCTTTACACAAAGGACTTAAAATCAGCATTCTATATTGAAAAGCCACAAAAATGTTCATAGCAGCTCAAATTACAATAGCTAAACTGTGGAACCAACCTAGATGTCCTTCAATAGATGAACGGATAAAGCAACTGTTGGTGTATATACACAATGGAATATTACTCAGCATTAAAAGAGAATAAAATTATGGCATTTGCAGGTAAATGGATGGAGTTGAAGAATATCATGTTAAGCAAAGTAAACTAATCCTAAAAAAAACAAAGGCTGAATATTCTCTCTGATAAGTGGATGCTGATTCATAATGGGGACAGAGCATGGGAAGAATGGAGGAACTTTGAGCAAGGGGTGAGGGGAGGGAGGGGGTATGGGGGCAGGAAAGATGGTGGAATGAGATGGACATCATTACCCTAGGTACATATGTGACTGCATGTATGTGACTCTATATCGTGTACTACCAGAGAAATGAAAAGTTGTGCTCCATTTGTGTACAATGAATTGAAATGCATTCTGCTGTCATATATACCTAATTAGAATAAATAAATAACAAATAGAAAGAAAAAAAACAACAATAAACTGGGTGCAGTGGCTAACACTTGTAGTCCCAGATACTTGGGAGGCTGAGGCAGGAAGATCCTAAATTGGAGGCCAGCCTGAGCAATTTAGTGATATCCTGTCTCAAAATAAAAAATAAAATGTTTTGGGAATGTAGCTCAGTGCTTTCCTGGCATGTGAGAGGGTCTGGGGTCAATGTCAACAAACAACAAAAAACCTCCAAACAACAATAATACCTTGTCATCTTTCCAGTTTCCTGTGTAGACAATCCCATTAGGAGTGGTATGAATACCTACTCCATTTCTCTCATAAATTCCAGAAGATGTTCTTATACATTCACCATCTAAACAAGGGAGAAATACTAAAGATTTTTAAATAGGACTTGTGTTTGACTAAAAAATATAGTATTAATGTCTGGGGAAAAGCCATGTGGGTTTTTTGTTTTGTTTTGTTTCTTTTCTTTTTTTGCAGAGGGGGTGTTTTGTCTTGTTTGCTTTTTTTTTTTTTTTTTTTTTGGCTTCCCAGCATTGAAACCAATGACAGCAGAGATAAGACAATATATGAACTCAGAACATCTTGTAACCACTGAGACCCAGGACCAAAAAGACATACGATCTAGATATAATGTTGGAATTTTGATTTTAAATCTGTTCATCTATTAGGATTTCTGTTATTGTACTTGAAATAATATCCCAATAGCAGTTTCATAAAATGTGAGTCTCATTTTTTTTATTCTTAGGCTATTTAATATTCTGCAGAGGAAAAGTAATTGAAATGTATGCTTACCATACTTGTCTCCATTAGGAAATATAAAATTTATCTTGTACACTTCTGAAGTTGCTTTAAAAGATTTAAAAAGAGTCATATAAGTTTAAATATTTTGTGTCATAAGACCTATAAGTGAGGGTTAAGCACTACCTAAATAGACTCAATTCACAATAACACAACTATATTACTTGATAGTTTCATGTCTAATGTAGCGTTTTGGGGAAATAAATAATTTTGACTAGATGAGTGATCATTTAATATAACAACTTTATTAATGTATAATTTAAATATCACAAATTAATCCTTTAAAGTATATAATTCAATATTTTAGTATATTGAGTATATAGAGTTGTACAACTATCACCACAATCTAATTTTAGAATATTTTAATTACCCCCCCCAAAAAAAAATCCTGTGCCCATCAGTACTCACTCACCATTCCCCTCAAAACTCCATTCCCCATTACCCACTAATCTACTTTCTATCTCAATAGATTTGCCTATTTATTTCTTATAAATGGATTCAATAAATGGTCCTTTGTGATTGGCTTCTTTCACTTAACATGTTTTCAAGTTTCATAAGTTTGTACCAAGTATCAAAACTTCATTCTCTGTTCCTTCTTATTACCAAATATATTGTATAGAAATAGTGTATTCATTACTTGATGTACATTTAAGTTGTTTCTAGTTTGAGGCTGTTAAGAATAATGCTGCTATAACATTGATGTACAAATTTATGTTCAACAGAGGTAAGATGGTGAGGAATATTTGATTAGGAAATAGGAGGAAATATAAAATATAATAAGTGGGGAAGGAGGGAAGTCTAAGTAGAGTGAGTCTGGAATGGAGACCAGGTTTAAAAAAGGAAAAAAAAAAAAAAAAACAAGACCACAAGACTGAGGGGAATCTCTGTCTCTGAACCCTGGAACACTTAGTACACTAAATGCAAAATGTAAAAAAAAAAGTATTTTTTTCCAAAACTGAAGAAAATATATAGAGAATAAGTGAATTCTAACTTCTTGGACAGTAAACTCTATTAAGATATTAGTCAAAGTGTGGCCTATGCGTAAGAATCGGCTTGAATATCTCAAGTTCCTAGGCCCCACCTCACATCTACTGAATCTCTGCATAGGGTAAGGGAACAGATATTTTTAATTTAAAAGGTAACTTAAGTGCCAACTGAGAAAGGTTGGAGGCTCATCTCAGAGTTAATAGCACAATAGGTTTAAGAATTTAAAATACTGTAACATCCTCAGAGAGAAAGAGGAACAGACAGTTAAGAATCAATTAGCAAGGAACTTAATAATAAAACTGGTGAAATAAAACTTTCAGAAGGATTGGATAATAGAATGGATTTAATTGAAAAGTAAATTAGTGAACTGGTAGATTAGGTTGGAAATTTTCACAGAAAGTAGCACAAAGAAAAATTCTAAGATAATGGAAAATAGATCCAAAATATTTAATGCCAGTTTAATAAAATTTCTAGAGGGAAAGAATAAGGGGAGGACACAATATTTGAATAGTCAAAAACTTGTTAGACCTGAAGAAAATGAGTGCTTAGACTGTAAATGAATACTAAGTAAACTGCACAGGTAGACAATTTGAAGTAAAATTCAACAACATAGAGACAAATGCCAATTAGGCAAACAAAAACCAGATTACCTATAACAAAGTAAAAAGAATAAAAATCAGACTGACATCAGCAATAGTGGACATTAAAAACAAAAATGAGATGTATTTAAATCTTTGAAGGGGGAAATTATTTGAACCCAGTGCTCTACCCTCAGCAAAAATATCAGTCCAAAGTGATGGAAACTAAACTATTTTTTGGACGTGGCAGAATTCAGAATTTAGTACTCATACTTTGTCTTTGAGAAATACAAGGAAATAAACTCTCATAGGGAGAAAAATGAATCCAGGAGAAAATAAGAAAACAAAAACAAAATGAGGAACAAAGGAATTAGTAAAAATGCATTTTTATTTTATTTTTGAGAAAAAATACTTTCTGTTAAGTAATATTATTTTATGTCATTAGGAATTTTATTATTATTAACAACCAGGGATTGAACCTAGGGGGCGTTTAACCTCTGACCCACATTCCCAGTCCTTTTTTATTTTATTTATTTGTTTGTTTGTTTATTCTAATCAGTTATACATTACAGAATGCTCTTCGATTATTGAACACAACTGGAGCACAATTTTGGACTTCTCTGGTTGTGCCCAAAGTAGGGTCACACCATTCCTGCAATCATACAWTGTACCTAGGGTAATGATGTCTGTCACATTCCACCGTATTTGTCACCCCCATCCTTTTTTGTATTTAATTTAGAGACACGGTCACAGTGAGTTACTTAGGGCCTTGCCAAGTTGATGAGGCTGGCTTTGAACTTGTAATCCTGCCTCAGCCTCCAGAGCTGCTGGGATTACAGGCTTTCTGCACCCAGTTTAGGAATTTATTATTAAGAATAACTTTTAAGGGCTGGGGCTGTAGCTCAGTGGCAGAGCGCTTGCCTAGCACGTGTGAGGCACTGGGTTCCACTCTCAGCACAACATAAAAATAAAGTAAAGGAATTCTGTCCATCTACAATTACAAAAAAATTTTTTTAAAGAATAACTTTTAAAATAGACTATAATTAGAATTCTGATAACAATATGGAAGTGCTGTGAGGAGTAGAATGCAATCTTGCTGGAATTCTGACCTTGTTTGGGGTTAAATATAGACATCAATTACACTAAATCTTAGAAGAATAAAAATTTAACTATATTTGTTCATTTTTTCCCCCAGTCATTCCTCTGTAGAGGTAAACAGATATGTGTCTTCAAAATTTCCAAGATACAGAATTGCTTTCTGTGTTTAATGATCTAGACTACCAGATGTCCTTGTAAAAGCTCCAGCAGCAATACTGTACTTTTTTTCCCTGCAACACACATCTCTTCTTTGGCTGGTTAACTCATCCTGGAGGAGCTGGAAAGTAGAGTGTAGTATTTAGGGGTTCGGGCATGCCCTGGCATTAGGCCACGTAGGTGAATGGGACTCCCCCTTTATAGTTGGACAAATTAGTTATGTCTSAATTTCCTCATCCTTAGATTAAATGAGCTAAACCACGTAAAGCACTAGGCTAGTGTCTAACTCTGTAGGTATTAGCCATTGTTGTCCTGTAGCACCAATTCAAGAATTGTCACAAGAATTGTCAGTCTCAAAGTCTTCTCGTTTCTCTTTCCCCCCAGATTCTTTTAAGAAGCCCCCACAGTACTTAGGGCTCTTTTAAAACAATGCTTTCGTGTCAGGATTCCCTATCACACCCACCTCCTGGGGACAGGACTYGCGGGTTAATCAAATCTTTTTTGTCCCCCTCCTGAGTTCAGTGTTTAGTATTAAYATGAACTGTCTATTTAGCGAATGAATGGCACTTAGGAAGCGGTCATTAAATGTCTACTAAGCAGAACACTAAATGTAATCGTAAAAGACACGGAACTATTTTCAATTGCCCTTAGAAAGTTCCACATTCGAAACTTTGGAATGTTGGAACTTGATGGAACCTCAAAGATCGACACCATCCGGCACCATGAAGGAAACTGAAGCCCAGAGAGGCTGGCTCTTGCCTAAGGTATCACGACAAGGAATTCGGGCTGAATCAACGTAGAATCCCCCCCACACACCGCAGTGTACACAGATTTGTCACACCCGGTCGGGAGTTWCAGGGCCCAGCTCTGGCTCCCAAAAGTTCTATTTACAGGTGCCCTTCCCCGCCAGGGCCTTGGGAGGAAGGGCACTCACTTGCTGGAGAGAGGTCGGAGAAACTTTCTTGACTCTGCGATTCCCCTTGGGCCGCCAGCTCTGCGGTATGGAGGGAGCAAAGCGCTAGCCGACACAGCTCCCAGAGCGACTCGGTTGCTTGGGCAACCGGGCAACCTCTCACCCGGAAGCGAATACGCGATGAGCCAATCAGGACGCGCCGAAGCTGTGCAGCCGCAGCTGGGCCGCCGCGGAGCCGCTCCAGGTGAGGTCCGTGGGGGTGGCCGAGTCCAGCTGCGACCTCTTACCCCTGGGCGCCGCCTCCCGACAGCCGGGAAGCATAGCTGACCTCCCTTAAGGCGGATCAGTGGTGTGTGTTTGTGTGCGTGGTTTGTGCGTCGCCCCAGTTGTCAGTGTGCGGCCGCCTCCCTGCTCCGAGAGTGGTCAGCATCTGAGGAGCATCCTGTCCCGCTGTGCCCCAGCCTGGTCTGCCTGGCACCAGTGTATCAGGACCAGCAGGATCCCAGGCCCTGGGACCGGACCAGGTGGGCTGCAGCGGAGGTTCTCCACGCTCAGGCTTGAGGCGGGAGAGCGGATTCAGGCTTGGAGCGGGGTTGGATTGGAGGGGCTCAGACTCGGTTTCCTGTCTCTGTCTCCATTTCGAGTCGAGTTTAACTATTTGGGGAAAGGATTAGGAGCGAAGAACGGTACGTGTCTGGGTAGCTGAATGGAGCTGGATGATTCTTTCTGGTCTGAGATTTGCATGAGATAAAAAGGGAGTGTCTTCAGTTTTCTGTGCCCAGTTTGGAGCGATGCTGTACATGGGAGCCAAACTTGAGAGTGAAACAAAGGATATTCTTCGAGCCAAACTTAGGTGAAGAAAGATGGAATCTTCCCAGGCTAGATGGAATAGARTAGTGGAATCTAAGCCTGTGGATTGTACAACATATTTCTTATTCTCCCAAAATGTCTGGGAAGAGAGTGATATTGGATACAACGACAGCCAGGAAGTCTTTATTCAAAATTTTATGTGCAAAATTTCAGATCAAGTTGTAAAGGTAACATTTTCTGGATTGGTGTGAGACAAGTTGTTTTAAATCAGTTTAGTATCTTGCTTTTTTCCTAATGTTTCTCAGTACACAAATTTACCTGGACCGGGTGATTTTTGAGATAAAGTTCTGATTTAGCTGTTTGATTTGTATATCCTTTCCAATTTTTCTAAGTTTTATTAACAATAGATAATTATTATTGCATAACATTAATAAATTCAGTTTGTCCCATTGTTTTGATCACCTGTTAATCTTTTAATTTTTTGTATTCTGTTTTTATAGAACTTATAATTTGGCTTCTTATACTATTCTTATCTACAAGGAATCTGGAGTCAGGGATTTGTAATGATTGAGTCTTCAAATTTAGATTGGAAGGATGTGTTAATCATGTTCTTATTCTCTAAGATGTTTTGACATTTTGAGGTCCTACCTGGTGAGGAAGAAACTGCCCTTTCCAAGGTTAGCTAACAAAGGACCAGAGTCCATACTCCCCAATACTTCCTTTTCCAAGCTCACCCATCAAGCCCATATTGTCCCTTCCCTAAATCAATCTAGGACCAGATACTGGACAATTAGGGACAGCCCTCCCTGATGCCTCCCAGGGCCTACCTAGAATTATTCAAATTAGCTAGTCCTTAACTGTTTGTCCTGCCTGGCTTTTCCTGCAGAAGCCCCAAGAAAGGCTGTGGCCTGATGAAAGAAAAATTGGGGGTTGCCCTAATTTAATTATAAGGATGGAGGGGGAAGGAAATAATGGAAAGTAATCAGTTATCAAAAGACTGTTTATTTTAAAACCTTGACTCAAATCCCATCATGGCCAGCCACTGTACCCTGTTTGTGTATGAACTTCCCAGATTGTTAACCCCACACAGTCCAGAAAAGTACTTTTCTTTGCCTTGATAAACTTTTTTTGTTTTTGTAATAGAGATCCCTTCGTTTTGAGAGTCTTGGCTTCACAGCCTAGGCCTTCCCTTTGTTCCTTTCCACCAAACTGCTGCCTGGCACAGCATGCTTTCTGGTTCTAGAGGATTTATGAGTCAGATTAAACTTTTGTTTCACTGTCATTGACCTCTCCATGTGGCCAGTGGGTCATCCTTATAAATTAACAACAGGGGGGCTGGGGATGTGGCTCAAGCAGTAGTGCGCTCGCCTGGCATGCATGCCGCCCGGGTTCGATCCTCAGCACCACATACAAACAAAGATGCTGTGTCCACCGATAACTAAAAAATAAATATTAAAATTCTCTCTCTCTCTTTAAAAAAAAAWAAATACATAAAAAAATAAATTAACAACAGGGCACAAATCAGAGAGAAGCCAAACTACCTTTAAATTTTGGATTAAGATAAAAGGTGTGTGTGTGTGGGTGTGTGTGTATGTGTGTGTGTATGTGTACGTATGTGCGTGTGAATGAGAAGTTATCATGGAAGAATCTCAGCTTCAGAGTCAAATGGATTTATTCAAACCGTGATTCCAGACTTTGCTTCTATAGTTGGTGCTATTAGGCAAATCACATATGTTCCTTGTTTTGGTTTCCTCCTCTGTAAAAATAGAAAATTATATTTATCTGACAATGTTTTGGAGTATTAAGTACAATAACCCTACCTTTCCCTTCAATACAGACTCATATATCCAACTACCTTTTATACATTTTCATTAAAGTATCAAATCAACCTCTCAAATGTTAACAAAGCCAGTCTTATCTCATTATACTCACCTCAAATTCATTCCTCCCCAATATTCCTCTTCTAAGTACATGAAACTACTATTTATCCATTTAGCTCGTATCCAAAAATCTTATCACAATCTTGATTCTTTTCTCTCATACCACTTATGTAATTTATCTACCTTTAAAATGCGTTCAGAACTTGGACCACTTAACTCCACTGCATCTATCCTAGTTCAAACCAKTGTATTTTTTCTCTATCTTGAACAACTGTATCAGTTTCCTAACTGACCTCTTTGGTTTTTCTTCACCCACCCCCAACTTTATTTGTCAAATAGCAGTTAGAATAATTGTTATAAAACATAAGTCAAGCTTTTGTTCCAGCTTTTTAGTAGTGACTTCCTATCATATTTATAATAAAACCCAAAATCCTTCCCTGGATTTATGACCTTTTGTACTCTCTGGCCTCATCTCCCTTCCTCATTTCATACTTCTTACTATTCATCCAGACCAGCACATACCCTAACTCTTTTTTTTTAATTTTTTAATTTTGTTTTTTTAGTCTTAGGTGAACACAATATCTTTATTTTGTTTATTTATATGTGATGCTGAGTATCGAATCCAGTGTCTCACACGTGCTAGGCAAGCACTGTACCACTGGGCTACAACCCCAGCCCTATCCTGAACTGTTAAATCTATCATTGCTTCTACTTAGAATGTTCCTTTCACAAGTATTTCATGGCTTATTCTCCCAATTTGTTCAGATATCCATTCAAACGTGATCTCAGAGAGTCCTTAAACAACTACTCTGTAACAAAAGCCTCGAGGTTTTTTGKTTTTTTTTCCTTGATAACACCTGCTCTGGTTTGAGTATTATTTGACCACTGGGAAACTAAGATTGAAATTTAGTTGCCATTTTGATGATATTGGGAGATGGGGCCTTTAAGAGGTGGTTAGGTCATTAAGAGAGATTATGCTTTTCTTGAGGAAATGGGATCATTTTCATGATAGTAGGTTATTATAAAGCAAGGCAGCCCCTCGTGTTGTGTCTCTTCCTCACATACACACTTGCCCTTTTGTTTTTCCTCCATGTTATGACACAGCATGAGGCCCTCACCAGAATCAGAGCAGATGTCGGCATCATATTCTTCTACTTCCCAACCTCCAAAACTGTGAGCCAAAATAAACCTTTATTCTATAAATCCATCAGCCTCAGGTATTGTGCTATAGCAACAGGAAACAGACTAAGACAGTACTTATTTGACATTATATATCTATTTATTGTCTGTTTTATCCTTTAAAGGATATTTCTTCACRAAGCAGGAATTTTGTCTTTACTGTTATATTTCCAGGATCTGATATACAAGAAATGGCTAGATGAATATTTCATTGTTCATTGTTTATATATGTTCATTCACATAATATTTCTGCCTGATATTAACCTAGCAACTCCACCTTTCTTGTAGTTTCTGTTTGTATAATTTGTTTTTTTCCATCCTTTTACTCTTAATTTATTTATACCTTTAAATTTATAGTGTCTCTCCTATAAATAACATATAGTTAGTTGGGTTTTTCCTTCCAAGATAATAAACAAAAAAAAAAAAAAAAAAAGAAGAAGAAGAAAAAGGATCAAAGGGCCATGACCATATGTAGCCTATTCACTGTATGAACTGCACCTGGTATGTTCCCAAGGGAAAGGCTATTAAGAAGTCCATCATTCAAAACATAGTCAAGACTACAGCTATCAGGGACATTTCCCAAGCAAGTGTCTTCGATATGCTTCCCAAGCTCTATGTGAAGTTGCCTTACTATGTGAGTTGTGCCAATCATAGCAAGGTGGTTTAAGAACTGATCTCATGAACCCTGTAAAGACTGAACTCCCTCACCCCCACACATGTGTTTAGACCTGCTGGTGCTGCCCTATAATTTCCACCAAAACCTATGAAAGGAACTGGGTCCAATGATCTGAAGAAAAACCATTTTCTGGGGGAAAAAATAATAAAATGGAAATCAGACTTTAAAAAATTAGATATAGTTAGAATTTTTAAATCTAGCCCATCTTTTTATTGCATTTTTTAAACCACTTACATTTATTGTTAATAATATAGTGGGGGTTACAGCTATCATTCCATTCTGCTTTTTATTGATGTACATCTCTTATCTATTTGTTCCTTTCTTCCTACTTTACTGCTTTCTTTTATTCATTAAGTGAATATTTTATAATGTATTTTTAGTGATTGTTCTGGGGTCTAACATATACATCTTAATTTATTGGAATCAGCTTAGATTTGTACAAGCTTSATTCTAGCAATATACATAAGGATTAATACTGTATATATTCATTTCCCTCCTCGTGGTATTGTTTATACATATTATACCTATTAATGTTATAAACCC